TACAGGGTGGGGCAAGAACTTTGACCACCTGGAATATCTCCGCTATTTTTTGAGATATCAAAATATTTTAATTACAAAAGTTGTACAGCATAAAGAGCGCTATAATATGCCAACGACAATTTTTTTTGGGTGGAGGCGCTTCGAAGAATTCTCGGAAGGTCTCGGAAACGGCTCATTTCCGGACCTATGTTTGTATGAACTTTTTTGCTTGTTTTTGGGTCCCGAATCACCTCCCGAAGTGGAGTAGGCGATTTTTCGGACACCCTGTATATATTATATATTTTTATTATATATATTGTATACGCATATGTATATATATTATCATTTTAATATATATATTTTTTCTATAAATTTGAATTCATTTTTATTTGAGCAACCAACCTCCTTAAAGCAAGACTGTGGACCAAGGGTCACACTCGGCCGGGACGATGCCAATCGGTCATTTCAACGAGTGACGTGCGTTATCAGCGCGCACGATACAATACGTCCCGGCGAAAAGCAACCGGCCCGTGTCGCGTTGCGACATATAAGCCCGCGCGATAAAAGCTGCTTCAAACGCGATGCTCTCACTCGGGAAATATTCGCTGAGCTCAGGCGGAGCGTCCGCGCGAGAGTCGAGCGGTGCGATGGGGTAACGCATATACGGTCTTCGTGATGACAGCATTTGTAATTGCACGCGGTGCAGTCAAATTTGTCGCATAATGACGGCACAATTTCGACGCGACGCAACTGGAAATCCAGAGCGTGTAGGTACGCGCCGCGTGCACTCCTCTCGCGTGGATTCTCACGTCGTTCTATCCTTCCTCCCTCCTGTCCGCGATAATACCCGCGAGATTGTAATTGTCTTCCTTTCGTAATCACGCGCGGGTACGAGCATTATATATATACTTATTTTTTTACGACGACTGGAATACGAAAGTATTCCAGAGGTGCGCAAAATGATCGTCGAGCCCCGTCGAGACGGCGATCGTGAGACGGCGATGGGACTTTTACCTGGGCGCGAAAAGCTGAAAAGTCTTTCCCATGAGAGAAAGACAGAGAGAAAGGAACGGGAACGGTGAAGCAAGGCGAGCCGGTGATCGCGTAGTGGGACCAACAAAGTTACCTGGATCGACAACAGATACTTTTCTCGGCAGTAACCACCAAGACACCATGACGACACGATCACTCGCATCGTTCTCGACGCGACCGACGTCGGCCGTCGGTCTCATCACCGCGTTCCTCCTTATCGCGGCGGCACGTAAGTCTTCTCCGATCTATACCGAGATTCTAAATCTCGATCGAGCCGATTGATTTCGGGGGAAAAAAAGTCATCAAGTGTTCCGCATCTTTCGGCGTTTCAACGACGATCCGACTTGGCCGCGCGCGGTCGCGAGAGTTCATCGAGTTCCGATTTCATCGACGAAGGCATACGATGAAATCGCGCGTTCAAGTCCCAAGTATATCGCGATGCGAACGAGAGTTTAATTCAAAGCGTCTCGCGAATCGTTTGCATTTTGATCAAAAACTGGGTTCATTGTGCATTTCGTAAGTTTCTCACGAATCTGAATGTAATTTTCTGTCGTGCGACCGAACGACTCGAAACAATTACGAGGCGACTAAGGTATCATCGCTCGATCCTGGGATTCTCATTCCGTGGCTCGTCAAGCGACGTCCTTGGTGAAAAGTGAGGGGATTAAAGAGCCCAGCTTATCGTATCGGGTTGTCGTCGGGAACAATTATCTTCTCGCGCCCGAAGTTACGAAACGCAAATATAAAATTATGTGTGACCGATGCGCCGATAATCAGCAGCGCGTTGATCTGCAAATAATGTCCGCGCATTTTCTTCTTGTAACGAAATCTTGAGTTGTACCGTCGAGAATCACCTCTGTCGGGATAATCAGGATATCTGCACGCTATTTCGCAGGCTGCTTCCTTGTCCACTCTACTTACCGTCAACCTCGTCGCGGCTCCGCGTCCCAGGACGACTTCACGCGTTTTTGTGCGCGCCATTTTTAGCGCACGCTTTAGAAAGCAAGGAGAAATTACACGGTGCTAACTTGCAATTAACAATCGCTCGATCTAAAAACCAATATTAGTTCGCTAGCTTTGTGCACTGTAACACAGAAAAAAAAGAGTTCAGTCGCGCGGAGAAATTCAGCTTCTTTCGAAGCAAACATTCTTGTCGCAGAGGTCTCTAAATTTAGTGAAAAAATGTGGATCGCTAGCACGCGTGCCCTGCGAATTTGAATAATCCTCGCTGCCAGGTCTTTCCAAACGGAAGTTACAAGCTCCAAGAGTGTCTCCAAGATACGCTACAGAAATGCACGCATAAAAATCGTACCGATACGATACAAACAAATGTTGTATTTAAATTTTGTGAAGCAACGTATTTCAAATAAGTTCCATAAGAGAAGATATCGCCTCTCTGTCGGCGATTTCTCTATCTCAAGGAAGGTACGCGGAGGTTCAAGAAGGAAAATCCCATTAAAATAATAATAGTAATCGAGAAGTGAGGAGTTAAAGCTGAGATTCTCAGTTTGTCTCGTTTAAAATTCACCGTCGGAGTTTATTAATCCCGCGCAACTCTTACAGCATCCCCGAGCAGTCTCTGCAATCTGGGAATCGTGGCAATTCGCGCGCGCCACGTGTAAATAATGTGAGGTGCGTGCTTGAGACTTTTATGCGAATTCGCGTGAAAAATGCCGAAACTTGGGGATCTAAACGCGTGGACGGCGACGGATGAAAACGAAAGGGCGATAACACCGCGAGTCTCGGCGGGCCTCCTGACATTTCCAGGCTTCCAGGAGGTGAAAGTGGGAGCCGGATAACCGTAATTGGCCATCCGTATATAACACAAGTTCCGAGTCCGCAATGTCGTAATAGCGTCTGCGAATAGTCGCCAAAATGTTCGCAATGCGAATCTCGCCGAGAGACGCGATTGTCTCGCTCGAATCGTACACCGTCGTCTGAGAGCAGTGTCGTCTGTTCTTTTTACGTTCGTATCGAGCTAACATTACATTTGTCGTACGATCAAGTTCTCAAGCGTGTCGATTGGCTACAGAAAAATTCTCGAGTCTCTAGAAATTTTCTATTCTACAGTCAACACGCTTTATAGTCCTTGATCTTCCATTGTCGCGAAGATGCGTGCCTATTTAAAAACGCCCCGTCGAGTTTTTCTTCTGCATTCCAAGAAACGACCGATCGCAGAGCGCGATAAATAACAACAATTTAATAGTTTTGAAGGTCCGACTTAAAAAATTGGACACCAAAGAGTTAATAAAATTATAAATCTTATGTTAATGCATTCCATACGTGCGAGACCTGGGCTATAAAAATAAATAAAGTGTAGCATTTTATTCCTTTTACAGTTTTGCATATTTGCCGCTATGAAAATAGCCGAAGGTTATTACGAAACGGTCGTCGAGAAATTCGCGAGGACGTAGACTTGTGATTTGCTTACGGAAGCGGCAGTATTATTCTCTTCAATATTATATAATCATTCGTAAACGCCCCCCCCCCTCTCTCTCTCTCTCTCTCTCACTCTCTCTCTAGTCTCTCTCGTGTAAGTCAAACCTTTAATTGATCGATTAATCGGCGCTGTTATATTTGCTCGTGTATGACTTCCACTTATTTAGAGACTACATATAAAAATTCTTCAGTTTCGAATTTAACTTAACATTTCAACCAGAGATTTGTTTCCAAACCGAACAACTGATTGTAAATCTCGAAATGATTCACTTTTTAAAATTGTTTATGAATTAGCGTAATCTGTTGAAAATGAACTAAAAACTTTACCTCAGCCAGGGTAAAAAATATGTTTCGCAATAAACTTCAAATTAAAATTGTTCAGACACTAACATCCTGTCTTGGCTCTTATATCTTTTAAGCGCTTCGATACTGCACAATTTTTGTCATTGCTATCGTCCTTAAACATTCTCTTTCTCTTGTTATTTCTCCCAGTACTCCTTCTCAAAGAATGACATGACGTAAAACAGATCTCTCCATTTATTCGTGGATTCAGTAGTGAATCACGAAACTGAATCTATCCGAGTAGTATCGGCAAAGTGGCAAAGTCGACTTCGAGTTCCCGCAGGAGCGAGTTGAACTTCGCATCGAAGCTCGCGACACGACGAGGCAACGATACAACATTTCTACCTCGAGCCCTATCAATCCTAACATCTATCTCGTACACGATGTGTCGCTACGTAGGTAACATTCTGCAAATCCGCGCGTTCGTCGAATCCCTCGCGGAAACGCGACGCAACCGCGCGACCTTGATTAATGCGCGCACCGCGCCAATCTTCGCCGTCCTCACGTTTCTGGATGCGAACGACAGCCGATTCCTACTACGGAATTCTAACGGTGCCCCGGGCGAGCGAAGGGTCCGATTTAACGAGGCAGCCAATGTAACGTAGACCAGCGTACCCGATCCTACGATCTGTCAATGGAGACGCGCGGGCCTCGCTCCGAGGCATTACTTATCTAGCACACGTGCGATACGGGTACATAACACGCGGCACTCGGTGCGTCGTTATTAGTACCTTCTCCGTATCCGTGTTCCCCCCCGTGTCCCATTGATACGCTTACTACTGCAGCATCTAAATACAAATGTCAATTAAATTACAATTAAAAGCAAACGCCCCTTTGCTTTTGTGCTCTCTACACTGACAACCAAATTATTTAAAACTAAGTAAATAGGTTTACTTGAAATTAATTTTTATACTGAAGCAAATGTTTATTCTATTTAAATAAAAATATTAACTTTCAAGTAAATCTATGTATTAAATAAATTAATTTAAATCGTTACATTTTCTACATTTAAATAAAGATTTCATGCGATATAGAATACTATTTATTAAATAAAATAATTGTTTTTGTTAAATAAGAAATTCAATTTTCTTCGCTGTGAAAATTGTATCTTAGTAAACATTTTATAGAATTATAATAAAATTTTTTAATTAAAAATTATCTACTCTTTGATATTTAATAAATATTTAAATTAAGGAAATGCACGCTTTAATCTGTTTATTATTTTTAACATTGAAGTTAATAAGCCATTGGGAGCTACCTAATGAATAATTTTCTTGAATAAAGTAAATTTTTTTGGATTAAGATTTTTTTTATCAGTGTAGTAGCATAATACATTTGCTCAATATTACACGGAAAAAAGCTGTTGAATTAAAAAGAAATGAAGTTGATTGAATTAAACGTTAACGTTACGGGCTGCCACAAAATAATTCACTCGATTGTATTCGCTATGGATTTTAATTTTAAGCGTTGGACTAAATATCCAGATTATTAAGACAACTATCTGATCTTTTTGGATTTTATTTCAATTACACTGATCTTGTTTTGATACATCATTTTTTTCCGTGTAGAAATAATGTAAATCTAATATTCCCAACATTTTCTTTTGAAGTCAATCAGTGGATTATCACTGAAAACAGTGAATATTCGCTAATTCACAGTTATAAGTGTATAGTACTGATTTATTATTAATTGTTTTCAGTGATGATGCACTGATTGACTTTTAGTTGGTTCAATACTGCAAGGCGGACGCCTCTCCTTACAATATTTAGTCAATGTGTCTGTTCAGCAATATTGGTCTAATGTATACGTTATACTTGGGAAATCTTGGCCAATGCGCTTTCAATATTATAAATTCAATACTATATGATTATTGACGCGCAACTCGCTCTATGGTCAATATTGACTTCGCGCCGAGAAATATCGGTCAAACGTAACTTCTCAACACAACTAATATATTTAACCGACGTAGAGCAGTGCGCTAGCAGGGTTTTCTCTCACATTCGTATGTGCGCGCATCGCCTCTCAGCCTTGGTGTTGAACCGTGAAAACCTGCGGACGAAACGAGGGCGAGTTATCTGAATTCATTTCAATACGTGAGGATATGCACAACGTTCCGTGCCACTTGCTCTCGAGATGACTGCACTTCCCGAGGGGTTCGAAAGTAAGAAAGACATCGTGAATTCCGCGGGATTCGGGGAAAAAACGGCACCGAGAGCGCGCGTCCCGACGGCCGAACGTGAGCGAACCGCATAACTTCGTAGCCGCACACGCACCGCGACCGCGAAGCGACGCGTCCGGAACGCGTTCGCGGAACCCAGTTTTGCGTACGTGCGGTAACGATCTGCTCGCCGAGCGGCTCAATCAATCGTTCTTGACAATTTATTCGCGAAGTCGAGAAGTCACTCGCGAGAAGTTACCGTTATCCATCGTACCGGCCTGCCGTACTTGGGAGCGGGCCCATCAGCGGGACCCGCTCGCGGCACTCAAATGGGATGTATCATTCTAACGAACCCAATAAATTCGCATTATTACGCACGCGGTTCTTTCTCTCCCCCCCCTCCCTCCCTCTCTCTTTCTCTCTTAATTTTTTTTATTACAGAGGAGAGTCCCCTCTATTACGAGATAGGTTTCTAATATTGACTTACATAGGCCCGGTTTCACCAAACGTCGTTTAACTTCAATCTTAGTTTAATTCACGTTTGTCTCTTTCTGAAGTAACGGTTGGAAAGGGACAAAGAATGAATTAAGCTGAGCTTAAAGTTAAGCGACGTTGGTGAAACCGGACCTTAGGGCCAGTTTCACAAACGTCGGTTGACTGTTAACCGAAGGTTAACTGATCCTCTGTCCTCTTCTTAGAGAGCAAGATAGAAAAAGATAGGGCGTTGACTGAACTCTGGTTAACAGTTAACCAACGTTTGTGAAATTGGCCCATAGTGGGTTTTCAACACCTAGATTCTCAATCACAAATCTCTCTTCGCAATGATTACACGATCTAACAATGAATTTTCCACTAAACAGATCTCGTTCCAAGGACAAGAAATTCACGGTGGAATCAATTGACGATGCTTATTAATTTAACAGAAACCCCGCTGTTCCATATTAGGATCCTGCCTGATAACAGGGGACTTTCCTCTACGAATGCTCATTCTCAGTCGTAATTATTTTTCTATGCAGCATTGTTTAACGCTTTAGGGGACTTGTCTCAGAGCGTTTAATAAATACAGATTCTAAAGATCCTCTGTCTCTTTGTCTCTGTCTCTCTATGACTGCTATGCAGTCCCAGATATGGTATTGAATTTTATTCTTCTATTGTAATTTGCGTTATAAAATGTACAGAGTGATCAGTTACTGCAAATACTCTAATGGAGGAGAGCCCCCTATTATAAGTGTCGCTTCTAACATGAGATAGCGGGGCTTCTGTTAAATTAATAGGCATCGTCTGTTGGTCCCACCATTGTATTTATTGCGCTTTGGAGTGAAATCTGTTCAGTGGAAGATTCATTGTTAGATCGCGCGTGTGATTGTTACGTAAAAGGATTTGTGAAATTGAAGGTCGAAAACTCGCCCTCTCATATTAGGACTCTCCTATCTCATAATAGAGGATTTCCTCTACTATTTGTGTTTGTTCCTTAATTCTATTCTATACTATACAGAGTGTCCCAGGAGGAAAGGTCAATATTCTGGGAGGTGATAGTGTCGGTCATTTTAAGCAAAAATGTTCATACGAATATATGTCCTATTTCCCCACTGTTTCCGAGATAGAGCTACTTGCAGTGTTGTGCATAGATGATTTTAAAATTAGCTGGATAAAGATAAGATAAAAATATATAAATTTATCTTAGATAAGATAAAGATGATTTCGCTTTGAATATATCTAGATAAAAGATAAAATCATATAATGATTCATCTAGATAATTTGCAGATAATATTTTTAAGACTTCATGTAAACACAGTAGAAAAAGTTATAAACAAATTATAGAAAAATTTAAATTATAAAGGGGGATATAGAATATATTCAGGTTATAAGTTATATGACACACACATAAAGGCATCTACAACGCCATCCATATTTAAATAGTGTAACTGTTAAGTATTTTTATGTGGCTAACCTTATGTGGCCTTAAACCAAATTATCTGTACGTTATCTTAGATAATTTAGTAAAAATAACACTTTCTTTCATCTAAGATACAGATATAGATAATACTTATTTTTATTATCTATATAAAGATAAAATAACGCTAAAATTTTATCTAGATAATCATCTATATAATTTTATTTAGATAACAGCAAACACTGGCTACTTGAATGTCTCGTGTATTTACTTTTTTCTGTACACTTCACCCTTCATTCAATCTCATCAACGTCTGTGGGAATTTACTCTCATACGTCTGTTGACTGTGGTGCTGATAACATTGTAGAAATATTCAAAATGTCTCGCATATTCATAAAGGCTAATTTACAACGTGTCCTTTGCGTCTAGAATCATTCAATTTCCTAGCCAATAAATACGTTTACAAAATTTGGGCAAGTTGATAAATTGTGCATTGTACAATCGTAAATTGTCGACAAGCTTGTTAAGCGTTTTGACTTGTTTACATAAAACAGAATGTTTCTAGATGCAGAAAGCACATTGTAGATTAGGCTTAAATGTCGAACGAGCAACACGCCATGTTCAATACAAGAGTTGAAAAATGCACTGTGTTAACGGTGGAATTTTTGAAAATTTATTATGATCTGTAAAAAGTGTATCTTGAACAATCAATATTAGAAGTGGTACGTAGTATTTCTTTCTTGTCAGTAATTTTGCAACTGTACAATTCAAATAGCTCTATCTCGGAAACAGTGGGGAATGGGACATATATTCGTATGAACATTTTCGCTTAAAACGACCGATACTATCACCTCCCAGAGTATTGATCTTTCTTCCTGGGACACCCTGTATATGTATACCGTAACATACATATATGTACTTTCTTTTGCTGATTTCTATGTGTTTGATCTTGGTCTATCGTCGCTTCTGTTATAATGTCTATACGCTTCAGGGGACTTGTCCCAGAGTGTGAAATAAATAATGA